TTTCAATAATAAAAAATTGTTCAGAAAATATTCAAATTCGGGTGTTTTCAAAATGCTTATTGCAACGTATGCATCGACAAAGTCTACAGTTTTTGTCGCGAAATAAACCATAAGAGATATATAGAACATGATTTTGAAAAGAAGTGTTGACCTTTCATTTAGTTATCGCGGTTTTCAATTATTTATTCCAAATAAATGCAACAAGTTGTTTGATTTTTTATTGTTTATTTCGCGACAAAAACTGAAGACTTTGTCGATGCATACGTTGCAATAAGCATTGTGAAAACACCAGAATTTGAACATTTTCTGAACAATTTTTTTATTATTGAAAAGAATACGCACACATAAACAAATGAAGTTGACATATTAAGCCAGAAAAATAAAAAAATTGAAATCATATGGTAGTTCTGCCCTACCTTGAATTCATTGTACCATGATTGTACCCATGGTACAATGAAGAGAAGGTAGGTCAACTTTGAAAAAATTGCAAGTATAGAGGTCTACCTGTTTGGCTTGTAATGTCAGAAATAGTATCAAAACAATAACAAAATCAAACAACTTGTTGCATTTATTTTGAATAAATAATTGAAAACAGCGATAACTGAATGAAAGGTCAACACTTCTTTTCAAAATCCTGTACTATATATCTCTAAAGGATTATTTCGCTACAAAAACTCTAGATTTGGTCGATGCATACGTTGAAATAAACATTTTGAAAACACATGAATTTGAATGTTTTCTGAACAATTTTTTTGTTATTGAAAAGAAAACACATACATAAACAAATAAAGATGACATATTAAGCCAAGAAAATAAAAAAATTGAAATCATATGGTATCATAGCCCTACCTTGATATCATTGTACCATGATTGTACCCATGGTACAATGATATAAAGGTAGGGCTATGATACCATATGATTTAAATTTTTTTTATTTTCTTGGCTTAATATGTCATCTATATTTGTTTTGTATGTGTTTTCTTTTCAATAACAAAAAAATTGTTCAGAAAACATTCAAAATCGGGTGTTTTCAAAACGTTTATTTCAACGTATGCATCGACAAAATCTACCTTCTCTTCATCAATCCCACGGCAGCGGGTTCTACGATACCGGATTGACCCGAAACAACAAGATTCCAGTTTCGGCCAGCGGCTGCCAACCCAGTATGTACATGTTTGTGTTTGTTTATTTTTCTGCATTGGGAGCAGCATATCCCGGAATGCTTGCTCCGGATTTTATTGGTCCGTGCCGGGATTGAGGAAAACCCCGGACCTTGGTTCTGCTCGGTTTGTCAGAACGTCATCCACCACAGATCTGTCTCGGTGCGATGTAATGGATGCAGAGAGTGGGTGCACTTCAAGAACTGTTCCGGATTAAGGCGTTTGCGAGACTACAGCGAAAGGGATTATGTTGCGACTTGCTGCAGTAACGTAGTCCCCAGCGAGTCCTCTTCTTCGTCGTCCTCGTCAGAGACGTCGTCGGAGTATGGCACTCCACCGCAGTCTCCAGAACAGCAACCAACACCGCAGCACCTAACGCCACATGTTGCTGTTCCAACTCCGGATTGTGCATCATTCTTGCAATTCAATTGCAACGGACTTCGAGGCAAAATAGATGAGATAGTGGAATTTATGAGTCGGAGGAATATTAAGATCGCAGCGGTGCAGGAAACCAAGCTGAATGAAAATTGCAGCCTACAACGTTGTTATGGTTACAACGTACTAAGGAAGGATCGCACCAGAAGTGGAGGTGGGGGATTAGCGTTCCTGTTACACCATTCTGTTCAGTACAGACCTATCTCGCTTGAGCTAGTCTCTAGTGACCCATACATGGAATGTATGGGGATAGCAGTCAAGTGTGGAACTGCCGAGGTAGAGGTGCTTAATGTGTATATCCCGCCGATTAATAGCTGTGAACCACGTTATTTGCCTGATATTAGCCCATTATTGGTAGGCAATAACCGCCTGGTACTAGGGGATTTTAATGCCCACCATGAGTTGTGGCATTCCGTCCTAGGTAATGACCAGAGGGGATCAGCGCTGGCAGAGCAGATTGACTGCTCCACATTCTGCACGGTTAACGAGGATGCCCCCACCCGAATAAGAGGAGAGTGTCACAGTTCGCCAGACTTAACCATAGTGTCAGCCGGTCTGATAAATGACGTGACTTGGCAACCCGTCATTTCTCTTGGCTCAGACCATCTCCCGATAATCGTCTCCATAAGCAGGTCGCCCGATTTCATAACCTCTGAACGCCGCACTTTCCTTAACCATGGGAAAGCTCACTGGCCAGAGTTCAGAGAATTCACCAACCGCCGCTTCAGAGAACTGCCCAACCCTTCTGATGTTCGGGTAGCAGAAAGGATTTTCCGAAACATCATCAGAGCTGCAGCCGCTCGCTATATACCTGCTGGTCGAATACCCGAGATAAGACCAAATTTCCCAGCAGAGGCAGCGGGATTAGCAAACGAGCGTGATGATCTCCGTCGTACCAACCCTACTGATCCTAGAATCAGTGATTTGACAGTGGAAGTCAACCGGTTGGTACAGGAGCATAAGAGGAAAAAGTGGCTAGACCATCTGAAGTGCTGCAACATTGGAACCGATATGAGTAAGCTGTGGGTAACGGTTAAGTCGCTCTCGAACCCTGGAAAAAAGGATGATAGGACCTCAGTCACTTTTAACGACGTAACGGTGACTGATCCGAAGAGGTGCGCGGAATATTTTAACCGACAATTTGTCGAGCACCCCGAGAGTGATAGGGCGAAGCGAAGAGTACTACGTCGTATCAGATCTCTTCCCGCCGAGGAGGAACCACCACAGTTTACGATGGGTGATGTTGCAAATGTCATCCGTAACGCTAAGTCATCCAAAGCGTTGGGCCCGGACGGAATCTCAATGGTAATGTTGAAGCAGCTGGATACGCCGGGAGTCGAGTACTTAACGAAAGTTCTCAATTTGTCGCTAGCCACCCACATAGTGCCCGAAACCTGGAAAATGGGCCGGGTGGTCCCGCTACTGAAGCCAGGCAAGGATGCCAGTAAAGGCGAATCGTACAGGCCGATTTCGCTATTGTCGCCAGTAGCAAAGACTCTTGAGGCTTTACTCCTCCCCAGCATTAGAGGAAGCTATGCAGCTGCCAACCACCAGCACGGATTCCGTCCACAACATAGTACCACAACAGCATTACACGCCATTTCCACACATATTAGTAGAGGACTAAACCAGAACAGGCCGTGTGACAGAACAGTGTTGGTAGCCCTTGACCTATCAAAGGCATTTGATACGGTCAATCATGCCACACTGTTTGAGGACGTACAGAGAACTACCCTCCGGACAAGTTTGAAACGTTGGATAATCAACTATATGTGTGGACGCCAGTCGTACGTGGAATTCCGGAACAAGAAGTCCAAAGCCCGTAGAGTGAAACAGGGAGTTCCCCAAGGCGGGGTGATATCTCCGGAACTGTTTAACCTCTACCTTTCCGGAATTCCTCGCCCTCCAGACGGCATTGAGATCGTAACGTATGCGGATGATTGTACGATCATGGCGTCGGGTCCAGTGGTCGATGACATATGCGAAAGGTTGAACCCCTATCTCGCGGAGCTTGCCGCATACTTCCACGCGAGGAATATGAAAATATCCGCCACGAAATCAACGGCCACACTCTTTACCACATGGTCTGCGGAGATGAGAACACAGCTGAATGTTCAGGTCGAGGGGAATTTAATACCGACCACGAACTACCCCAAGATTCTTGGGGTAACGTTCGACAGCATGTTCAAGTCGTCCGCGCAAGCCACAGCTATCTGCGACAAGATGAAAAGTAGGAACAAGGTCCTCAAGGCGCTAGCCGGCAGCTCTTGGGGTGCGGACAAAGAAACCTTGTTGACCTCTTATAACGCGATAGGTCGGTCTGTGGTCAACTATGCGGCTCCAGTGTGGTCTGCGAATACTAGTGCTACGCAGTGGAAGAATATCCAGACCTGCCAGAACGCTGCCCTGAGAACTGCGACAGGGTGCCTCCTCATGACACCAGTGGACCATCTACATGAGGAGGCGAAAGTCCTTCCCTTACGTCAGCATAATCATATGCTTTCGTTGCAGTACCTGCTTGGGTGTTACCGTGAGAGCCATCCCAACCATCATATGGTGGATAACTCTCCCCCACCCAGGCGTGTCAGGAAGGACATACATGATCTAGAGAGGGAGGTCCAGCGCTACAAGAGAGAGCCTCTAGATCAAGAAGCCTATCAGGCAGGTCTGAGTGGCATTCACACCGATGCAGTCGCGGATGCTATTAGCAGTTATAAAGTGAATGCCGTCCTCGGAGTCCACCCCCCATCCATTGCAGCCGAAGAACGTCAGCTGCCTAGACAAACCAGGGTAGTTTTGGCGCAATTACGTTCAGGATGGTGTAGTCGCCTCAATTCGTATTGGGCACGAATTGATGAAGATGTGCGTGACGCCTGCCCGGCGTGTGATACAGGCCCGCACAATACGCTACACCTTTTTAATTGCTCAGCCAAACCTACCCAACTCACTCCAGAGGATCTCTGGCTACAGCCCGTTAAAGTAGCCGAATTTCTAAACCTGGAGCTGGAACCAGATTAGCAGAACACAAACACACACATATACTACTGCTACAACAACAACAACCTTCTCTTCATTGTACCATGGTTGCTACCATGGTAGAAGAATATAGGTAGACGCGTCGACACAGCTGCTGGGACAATAACTGTCATACTAATTTTGTAATTGAAAATGTTGAATGAACAATTATTTAAATTTGTATAAAATCTTGAAAAATGCATATCATAACAACCTCTGATTGGCGTCGTATAAGAAAACTTATAAAAATCTAATTATTTTTGAAAAAAATAAATTTTTTTAACGTATCAATGTTCCCAAGCGTTGATGCATTTACCTGTATTCTTCTACCATGCTACGATCTATTAGAAAGATAAAAGTAGCCGCTTGTCAACAAAGTGGTCGGCGCGGCAACAAATGATGCGTCGTCGCCGTTTAGAAAAATTGTTGTCCTTCGTCGTGTATTTCTTTGTTTAAAATATTAAAATTAAAAAATGGAATATTTTCGTCCAATTTGGAGTTGCATGTCTTCACTTTTTTGCGGCTGTTTACACTGCAATGATGATTTAACAAATCAGGTAAGTCGTCCAATCAATCCTCTTCATGTTTACCTCGTATTGTGACAAAACTAAAAAACTCGGTTCCTCCAATTTGTAGCACAACGCCCAAAATAAAAATTATTATATTTTAGGGTTACGATCCCAGCGAGAGAACCCATTTGCTTTCGGACACTGTTAACAATAGTCCAGCTTTAAGAAGGACAAATTCTGAAAACATCAGTTCGGATTGTCAATCAGTTCCAAAAAAAGATGATCAACAAAATGCGCTATGTCGTCTTGTCCAAAACACAGCAATGTAATTTGAAAATTTTTACATTGTCATTTCATTTATATTTGTTTGATTTTCAGTAATATGATCGATGTTGGGGCAATGGATTCCCATAACTTAGAACATCAGGAATGTGACGTCCGGATCAAATTATATTCTCATCGCTTACAACAACAGTGGAGTAATATACAAAGTCCGTCAAAAAGGGTGAAGGGTAAGAAAGTTTTCTTTTTACCGTACAGTATATACTCAATACCTTTCAATTACTTATATTGTTCCATTTCAATTTTTTAACAGCGGTCTGTTTTCTATTATGTCATGCTATTGATTTTAATTACAAAAAGAAATGGCTTAACTCTAGTTTAGTAAAAACTCTTCAATTTTTTCCGAAAAAAATTCCAGTGGTAGGTATTTTTACCCTGGCCCCGGGAAACTATTTTTTTTTTGGGGGACGGACCCGGGACCCCAGATTTTCGACCCCAAATTCCGGGTTCAAGACCCCAACTAGACCCGGATCCAGTTAACCGGTATAGGCAATATAGGTGTCGTTGGAAATATAGTTGGAAATATATCCAACAAGTGGTCGCATTATGGGGTAAGTGGTCACGGTTCGGAAGTTATAGTAAAATTATCGATTTTTTGGACCCGGATTTTTTATAAAACCCCCAAAAAGTCCAAAAAGGGCCCATTATGGAGTCAACAAAATTGATGTCAAATTAAAGCTGGCACTCTTACCTTTCCAAAATGCTACAATTTGTGCTAATACCTTTACTGAGTCCAGAGATATGGGTCTGTCCATCCGCATAACCCGATTCTAACCAGTTCATTAAAGTTATGTTTTCAATAAAAAAAGGTTTATTTCGCGTAGCCGTTGTTGGATTTCAAAAGCACCACATTAAGAAAACTTTGGTTCGCGTTAGCCGGTGTTAGACATACTCAGAGGAGAAAAATTCAAGCCTCGGCCGAAGGCCGGCTACTTACAAATGGTATCAAATTTAGAAAACTTTGGTTCGCGTTAGCCGGTGTAGGACATACGCAGAGGAGAAAAACTAAAGCACAAATTGTAGCATTTTGGAAAGGTAAGAGTGCCAGCTATAATTTGGCATCAGTTGACACCCATAATGGGCCCTTTTTGGACTTTATAGGGGTTTTATAAAAAATCCGGGTCCAAAAAATCGATAATTTGACTATAACTTCCGAATCGTGACCACTTACCCCATCATGTGAACACTAGTTGGATAGGTATTTTCTAAGCTTTCCAACGATACCTATATTGTCTATATTGGGTAATAGGGGCCGTGTCAAAAATCTGGGGTACCGGGTCCGTCCCCCCAATAAAAAAAACAGTTCTAAAGCATTTGTTTGTGGAAACATTTAATTTCGAAAATCCATGAATTGCAATGCAATGCGCAATTTTCCGTACACCAAAGATTTACATATGTCAATTGCTGTATCCATTCTAATTTTATTTGTAACATTTTTGATCGAGGTACATAGAATTACATTGACCTCTTTTCCTGCGACATACGTAAAATAGAGCTTTTATTAGAATGGAGTACTACAAAATTTTCTCCACAATGTGCGGAATGTGGTTCTTGAAATTTATTCTAGTGTCAAGTATGATACCCAAGTATTTGACGTTGGTTTTCCAATTTATGCTCTGATTACTAAACAGGATTGGTATTTGTGAAACAAAACGTGAGCACCGCTCTCTCGTGAAAGAGATAGCTTCTATTTTATCTGTATTAAGTAGGATCTTCAATTTGAAGAAATATTTATTTAGCTCTGATAGTGCTTTCTCTAGGCTTTCAATGATATTGCAGGATAAAATTCCAGAACATAGTATTGCAGTGTCGTCCGCGAAAATTGAAGTGATGCATTCTCGTATAATTGGGATGTCTGATGTGTAGATGTTATACAAGATAGGCGAGAGACAAGATCCTTGAGGACAACCAGCAATCATCGATTTTCTGGCAGAGATAAATGGCGTTATCGAGACAAAATGATTTATCAGATAAGTTTGGTTTCATTTTTTATGATTTCCATGGGGAAATTAAACTTGTATAATTTAAATATGAGACCATTGTAAAGATTTTCCATTCCAGTAGATTTTTCAGCCGAAAATTTTTTATGAACGAACTCTCGAATATTACATAGAGGTTGTTGATGTTGTTGTTGTAGCAGTAGTGCATGTGTGTGTTTGTGTTCTGCTAATCTGGTTCCAGCTCCAGGTTTAGAAATTCGGCTACTTTAACGGGCTGTAGCCAGAGATCGTCTGGAGTGAGTTGGGTAGGTTTGGCTGAGCAATTAAAAAGGTGTAGCGTATTGTGCGGGCCTGTATCGCACGCCGGGCAGGCGTCACGCACATCTTCATCAATTCGTGCCCAATACGAATTGAGGCGACTACACCATCCTGAACGTAATTGCGCCAAAACTACCCTGGTTTGTCTAGGCAGGTGACGTTCTTCGGCTGCAATGGATGGGGGGTGGACTCCGAGGACGGCATTCACTTTATAACTGCTAATAGCATCCGCGACTGCATGGGTGTGAATGCCACTCAGACCTGCCTGATAGGCTTCTTGATCTAGAGGCTCCATATGATGGTTGGGATGACTCTCACGGTAACACCCAAGCAGGTACTGCAACGAAAGCATATGATTATGCTGACGTAAGGAAAGGACTTTCGCCTCCTCATGTAGATGGTCCACTGGTGTCATGAGGAGGCACCCTGTCGCAGTTCTCAGGGCAGCGTTCTGGCAGGTCTGGATATTCTTCCACTGCGTAGCACTAGTATTCGCAGACCACACTGGAGCCGCATAGTTGACCACAGACCGACCTATCGCGTTATAAGAGGTCAACAAGGTTTCTTTGTCCGCACCCCAAGAGCTGCCGGCTAGCGCCTTGAGGACCTTGTTCCTACTTTTCATCTTGTCGCAGATAGCTGTGGCTTGCGCGGACGACTTGAACATGCTGTCGAACGTTACCCCAAGAATCTTGGGGTAGTTCGTGGTCGGTATTAGATTCCCCTCGACCTGAACATTCAGCTGTGTTCTCATCTCCGCAGACCATGTGGTAAAGAGTGTGGCCGTTGATTTCGTGGCGGATATTTTCATATTCCTCGCGTGGAAGTATGCGGCAAGCTCCGCGAGATAGGGGTTCAACCTTTCGCATATGTCATCGACCACTGGACCCGACGCCATGATCGTACAATCATCCGCATACGTTACGATCTCAATGCCGTCTGGAGGGCGAGGAATTCCGGAAAGGTAGAGGTTAAACAGTTCCGGAGATATCACCCCGCCTTGGGGAACTCCCTGTTTCACTCTACGGGCTTTGGACTTCTTGTTCCGGAATTCCACGTACGACTGGCGTCCACACATATAGTTGATTATCCAACGTTTCAAACTTGGCCGGAGGGTAGTTCTCTGTACGCCCTCAAACAGTGTGGCATGATTGACCGTATCAAATGCCTTTGATAGGTCAAGGGCTACCAACACTGTTCTGTCACACGGCCTGTTCTGGTTCAGTCCTCTACTAATATGTGTGGAAATGGCGTGTAATGCTGTTGTGGTACTATGTTGTGGACGGAATCCATGCTGGTGGTTGGCAACTGTATAGCTTCCTCTAATGCTGGGGAGGAGTAAAGCCTCAAGAGTCTTTGCTACTGGCGACAAAAGCGAAATCGGCCTGTACGATTCGCCTTTACTGGCATCCTTGCCTGGCTTCAGTAGCGGGACCACCCGGCCCATTTTCCAGGTTTCGGGCACTATGTGGGTGGCTAGCGACAAATTGAGAACTTTCGTTAAGTACTCGACTCCCGGCGTATCCAGCTGCTTCAACATTACCATTGAGATTCCGTCCGGGCCCAACGCTTTGGATGACTTAGCGTTACAGATGACATTTGCAACATCACCCATCGTAAACTGTGGTGGTTCCTCCTCGGCGGGAAGAGATCTGATACGACGTAGTACTCTTCGCTTCGCCCTATCGCTCTCGGGGTGCTCGACAAATTGTCGGTTAAAATATTCCGCGCACCTCTTCGGATCAGTCACCGTTACGTCGTTAAAAGTGACTGAGGTCCTATCATCCTTTTTTCCAGGGTTCGAGAGCGACTTAACCGTTACCCACAGCTTACTCATATCGGTTCCAATGTTGCAGCACTTCAGATGGTCTAGCCACTTTTTCCTCTTATGCTCCTGTACCAACCGGTTGACTTCAACTGTCAAATCACTGATTCTAGGATCAGTAGGGTTGGTACGACGGAGATCATCACGCTCGTTTGCTAATCCCGCTGCCTCTGCTGGGAAGTTTGGTCTTATCTCGGGTATTCGACCAGCAGGTATATAGCGAGCGGCTGCAGCTCTGATGATGTTTCGGAAAATCCTTTCTGCTACCCGAACATCAGAAGGGTTGGGCAGTTCTCTGAAGCGGCGGTTGGTGAATTATCTGAACTCTGGCCAGTGAGCTTTCCCATGGTTAAGGAAAGTGCGGCGTTCAGAGGTTATGAAATCGGGCGACCTGCTTATGGAGACGATTATCGGGAGATGGTCTGAGCCAAGAGAAATGACGGGTTGCCAATCACGTCATTTATCAGACCGGGTGACACTATGGTTAAGTCTGGCGAACTGTGACACTCTCCTCTTATTCGGGTGGGGGCATCCTCGTTAACCGTGCAGAATGTGGAGCAGTCAATCTGCTCTGCCAGCGCTGATCCCCTCTGGTCATTACCTAGGACGGAATGCCACAACTCATGGTGGGCATTAAAATCCCCTATTACCAGGCGGTTATTGCCTACCAATAATGGGCTAATATCAGGCAAATAACGCGGTTCACAGCTATTAATCGGCGGGATATACACATTAAGCTCCTCTACCTCGGCAGTTCCACACTTGACTGCTACCCCCATACATTCCATGTATGGGTCACTAGAGACTATCTCAAGCGAGATAGGTCTGTACTGAACAGAATGGTGTAACAGGAACGCTAATCCCCCACCTCCACTTCTGGTGCGATCCTTCCTTAGTACGTTGTAACAATAACAACGTTGTAGGCTGCAATTTTCATTCAGCTTGGTTTCCTGCACCGCTGCGATCTTAATATTCCTCCGACTCATAAATTCCACTATCTCATCTATTTTGCCTCGAAGTCCGTTGCAATTGAATTGCAAGAATGATGCACAATCCGGAGTTGGAACAGCAACATGTGGCGTTAGGT